TTTGATTTATTATTGACTTCAAATCACTGGATTTAAACCTCTGTGAATATTTACCATTTATTAATTTATCATTGGAAACTTTATTCCTTTTTTATGCTGATTTATTTGTGCTGTTCAGAGACATATTCACCTCAGCTCATCTGAATAGAAATACCAAAGATGTGCTGGCTCACAATTTAGAAATAGCTGGAAGTAACTCTCTATCTTTACCGTTAGCACCAGATTATTTGATTCTTTCCAGGAAACGTTTTAAGAGATTAATGGGAAATAAACTGGACCCACAAAATGAACTAAAATATCTATATATGTTCGATTCCTCCAAGGCAAGGAAAGTGTTTGGAGCTGTTGGTCGATCATTCATCCATTTTATCAACATTCTCATCGTGCACATGTTTCTAATGTGAAGCTTCTCCTCTGTGATGTGATCTCTGCGTCCTCGGGAACGTGAGCATGCTGTGTTTAAAACTGAAACTCTGAAAATGCAACATGGCGCGCCAACCACTAATGTGAGCTTTCTCTTCCCCTCTCTCTCTTTGGTCCCATTCCTCTCTCCCTGTCCTACATCCACCCGCACCACGCCTGCACCACATTGGCCACTCTCCTCCTCTTTAACCTCCACACACCCTTTCCCTCCAGCCGCCCAGACACCACCTTCCTGTGGTTCCTGAGCCCGTTGAAAGCCATCCGCTACCTGGTGTGCAACCGCTACAAGTGGCTGATCATCAAGATCGTGCTGGCCCTGCTGCTGCTCATCATGCTGGGCCTCTTCCTCTACAGCATGCCGGGCTACCTTGTCAAGAAGCTGCTGGGGGCCTGAGAGGGCTGCTGGGAGGACAGGCAAGGCGGGTGGTGGGCCGGATGGGTTGAGGAATGGGGGGGTGGAAATCTCTGTCTCTCTTTGTCTCAGAAAAATAGGCACTTTGTCCATCCGGTCTATTATTTCTCCACTTTGATCCGTTCAGATCTTCCTGTACAGCTCGCCACCTAAGACTACGCCCCCTCCTGGAAGTCAGAGAAGCGCTAACACCCGCATCCTCTCTTCAGCACAACTAAACTCTCAGCATCTCGACTCCATCTTTGAACTGACCACGCCGCAGTCACATGACACAAATTAACCCCTGATCTGACCCGAAACTTCCTATTTTCAACGTCACCTGACAATGAATGTTTCTTTTTCCGTCTATACAGCTTTTAATTAATTCATTTACTTATTTATTTATTTATTCAACTAAATCCGAGTGTTGGATTCGTGGTCAGGCAAATGCATGGACGTACATTACAAGTGATGTTGTAACATCTCCCATTACCGCTACAGTTTCGGCTATTGATATAGGTTAGTAGGGAACAAGTATTTACTGTCAACACTTTGCTTTGAGTACTCGTATTTAGTTTTTATGAGAACTATATAAACATTTAATAAACAGTTTACACATTATAATGTAGTTTTGAGCACATATTGGGACATTTTGAGTAAAAAAAAAAATTACATAATAAGTCTCTTGTAAAGACATATTTTATCTGTTTTATTACGTTGCCGACATCCACTCTTGTTTGCCCTCAAATACTTGAATCTAAATTGTACTGTTAGAAACTAATAATGTTTAGATTGAACTTATAAATGCTAAATGTGGCTGCTGAAACAAAAGTGTTGCTGTTTTTTTTATAGCTCTTGCAGTCTTTGCACACTTCAAAAATAATAATGAAGAAACAAACAATAAAGATGTCTATTTTCCTAATGAAATTCAATGAGACACGGAACAAGATGACTTCAAAATGAAAAACTAATAAGGAAACGATGAGTAAGCTTTCTACGTGGTTTAGATAAACTGTTCATTTTTATTGAATTGTTTGCAATTTAGCAAAGTTTGGTCCAACAGCTTCTGCAAATAATTTGAAGAAAAAAAATTTAAATTCCATTTATTTAACGTGAACTATACAAGCACAAGTCAGCCTATTCTCTGAGAATTCCCTGTGCTTTGTAATAAAATCCTCACTGGACAATACAACAAATAAAATCAATAGTCAAATCATTATCAAAAATAATGAATGCAACAAATACTAAATGTAGAACTACACTGTTTGTCAACGTGCATGCATCATAATGATAACCGAGGTCATGTGTATTGCCATGGCTCGTCACTCCAGCCTGATACAAACCAAATCACCAACTCTACTGTGTAAAAACTTCAGATAAAGTAAAGATGGAAATATGATCAAAGTGCACTTGAGTGGGAAAGTGGCTCAGCGTTGACTCTGGAAACTCTGGCCCAGTCTACACATGAGAAGACATTGTTATCCCATTTAAAAAAACTTTGCCTGTGCTTGACCTCATTTGTGTTGCAGTCTTTGTTTGTGATTCTGTGTTCCACTGATTACAGAATTATCGGTTGCACTAAACTTGCCTGTTTTTACGATGAATTTTGTGTATTGTATGATATAGTGGTTCAAAGGTGTGCGTTATTTATTTTTTGTCTGTTTTGACAATTTGAAATAAACTGGATTCCAAGGAAAACGTGTTTGAGATAAAGTTCATATTTTACTCTTCAAATGACAGTTCTGTTGCTTTCACCTCGTACAACATGTTTGCTCTTATTAATTTGTTCTCATTTGATGCTTCAACTTCTTTCAGGTTTTGTATTTAATCTATTAAATTTTTTCTGTTAGTAAAAATTCAATAATTAATTTTTTTTTTCTTCATTTTGAAGGTAGTCGTTTCACAAATACAGAAACTCCTGATGACTCTGCACTTGATCAACTAATGGAGCGAACCCTGCAAGGTAGTTCAGGCAGCCAACTCGAGCTGTGCTGCTCCAATCATGTGACACACATCATGTGACCTACCACAATCATCTATTAAACACACCCACCTTATTAGGCAGCCTATATAAGCAGTTAATTGGGAAGGTTCTGAAAATGTACCCTCAGTGAATATCTGAAAAACACATAAACACACAAACTCATGGCTTGAGAGATTGTTGCAGAAGTATCCGCAGCTCTGTGTTCTCCTGCATCAGACTCTCATTCTCAGTGTCAAGTTCAGAAATCTCCATGAGGACGGCACTGGATGGACGGAAAAAAAATATTCTGAGCACTGATGCAGGATTTACTTCTGTGTGTGTGTGTGTGTGTGTGTGTGTGTGTGTGTGTNGTGTGTGTGTGTGTGTGTGTTACTCACAGGTGTTGCTGTAGCATATTTTCTGCCTCCTCCCATAGTCTGACTTTGTCCTCAGGGATGATGTTGCTCAAACTTTCCCAGTAAGCTTTGTCTGCTGAACTGTCCCTTGGTTCTATTTGCAGAACACTGGACTGTGAGTGGCCTGAGCTCTCCCTTAGAACACACAGGGAATTATTACATATTGATGAAGAACGACCTTAACTATGAATCACAGTCTACAGTCTAGATAAAAACCATATCGTTGCCTCTATTTGCTTGGAGTTATTGGACTTATCCAATGCTCGTAAAGAAGAGGTGGGTGTGTGTCTTACCTGGACCTCATGTTCTGCTGGATGAAACTTTTAAGAGCAGGCAGGACTTGGTCAGGAAGGATGATTGGCGCCGCCACCTGGTCACTGGATTCTCTCAACTCACCAGAAACATCCTGCAGGAGAACAGATAGTAGTAACTGTTTAATTATAATTATTTTGTTCAGACTCAAGGCCATAGTTTGAACAAGCAGAAGTTCTCATGGAAACATCGAGGCATCGATCCGCTGCACTGCTCACCTCGCTCTGCTCTTGTCTGTACTTTAAGAGGAAATGAGCCAACTTGGGCAAATCCTGGTCAGCGAGGCCCAAGGTCTGGAAGAGAAAACAACATGTCTGTTTTACAATACAGCTGCTGCCTGGTGGTCCAGGTGAGTTGATGTGGGGGATAAGTGGAAACATAACAGGACATGAACTCACATAAAGGAGGGAGCCCAGCTTCATAGCCGTCTGTTCCTCCTCCTCCAGCGGAGCGAGCAGCATCAGAATATTGTCCTCAATGAGACCCTGGCACAGAAGGAAGAGCAGCTTGTGTTTGAAATGTATTTTTATATTATTGTTTTTTTTATGCTCCTGTGACTAAAACTGTAAATACTTAAGGAGGTTTTTTCCTATCTTTATTCAAGAGTGAGGTCTTTCAGTTTGAGTGGTTATATATCGCTATCAGAAATGTTTTACACCCTTATATCAGAACCTGCATCAGCCTCCACAAATTACATTAGAAAATGCCACAACATATTTCATTCCCCTGTAATAACAATTAGTTTCATATTATAGGACATGATAATGATGCAGCTACTGTCTCTCTTCAGATTATAAAGAGGAAGGAAGTGATATTCAACATTGTAGGAAATAAACTACGTATTTTCCATCAAGAGTGAGATTGGAAGAATAAAACCACTCACTCTTTTTTTTTTTTACATTACTATTGTAATGTGCTATTCGTTCAGTATAACGTTTGCATACAGACAAATCCTCTCCTGTTATTATCGTCACGTGTCTGTTTGTTATATATACGACAAATTGTTTGTGACTGTCTGACATTGTGTACCATTCTTCTAAACAAAACTTTTACTGTGATAAACATGAATCTCTCACCGTTTCATTACACAGCAGCTCGATCACTTTGGTCAGCGTCTCTTCATCCAACCCTTCATCACTCACTTCCTGGTCCATGACTGGGCTCTCAGCCTCCGACCTCGCCCTGTCTGATGAGTCCATCGTCCCCTGGCTGCACTGTAATGCCTGCTCAGTTTGAAACAGCTGGGCGTGCGGGTCTGTGCTGGTTTGTTTTTCAGACAGGATGGGGCCAGAGAGCTCTTTGAAGGGCATCACAGGTCGTTCCCAGGCTAAACCGAGATACCGCTCACAGATCTCTGAGTCAATGGTCAAAGCCCTCTCCACTAGTTGCCTCAACTCTTCTTCAACCATGCGCCACATCTCCTCAAATTTCCTGCCATCAGCGACTGCAAAGTGTCTGTGTGAAGTACAGGAGGGATGGAGTGAAAAAGAAGAAGAAAAAGAATTCGGTAAAAGAGAAGCAAGCAATGGTACGATATGTCAACATTACAGGATAATTCAGACTCACTTGATTTTCCTCTGAACTCGTTCATGCTGCTGGAGGATGCGATTGTAGTCTTTGTTCAAATGATGGCTCGTGTCTCTTAAGTATCTCGCCTGATTGGAGTGCTTGGTGACGAGACTTTTCATCTCTACCTGCAGACTGAAACACAAAGCCGTTGCTAGAAACACAGAGTGAATCAAATCTTAATTTGAACTATTACCTCCGCCAAGGAGGTGATGTTTTTCACCCCTGTTTGTTTGTTTTTTGGATGTTTGTTTGTTTGACAGAAGGATTACTCTATTCCCATAATTTCCATGAAACTTGGTGGAAGGTTGAGACATGGGCCAAGAAAGAATCCATTAAATTTCTGCTTGGATCTGGACAATGATCCTTTTATCAATGCAAGGGTGATAAAAATAAATATATTTAGAGGGTGGATATCTATGAATGTATAATTTGGTGCAGCTTGATGGGGACTGTTGGGCCTTGGCGGAGGTTGTGTTCGACTGAGTGCCATTCCAGTGTGTGTGTGAGAGAGAGAGCGAACAGCTGCTTTACCCGTTGACCCTTTTATACATTTGGTTCAGGTTGAACTTGTATTCTTCTGCATCATGCTTTTCCTTTATTTGTTTGAGCCTCATGAATGTGGTGGTGGCCTGTATCTTCTGATTCTGTCTCTCCAAAGCCTGCAGATCCATGAAGGGAAATGGTGAATTTAACCACTACTGCTGGCTATATTATATACTGTATATTACCAAATACAGCTCACAGCCCAAACACTTCACTTAATAGGTAAGATACTTGATGTTTGTGCAAACCTGAGAATTAGCATCCTGCTCTGTCTTGATGGTGCTCAGCTTGTCCTTATTCTCCAACATCAGACTGTGAATTTTAGCTTCATACTCCACCACTTTCTCTTTCCTCTGCTCCAAACTCTCAAGCTGAAACAGATTAGATTTCATTGGATACAAAATTGAGATATGTAAGATATAAGCTATGACATGTGTGTGTGTGTGTGTGTGTGTGTGTGTGTGTGTGTGTGTGTGTGTGTTTGTTATCCTGACCTGTCTGTCCCAGAGTTCCTTCATGTGTTGTTCCCACTCAGCCATGTCTCTTGTGACTAAAACTTCACTTTCCTGCAGACAAAATCTCTGCCAGCAACAACAACAAAAACTGTTAGAAAGTCTAGGTACATTTACATTTAAGCTCTAAACACAAAGTACAGCTGAAGCTGATTAGTTTTGCAGGTATTCAATCATGAAGGATCATTAAATAGTTGTCCTGATGATAGTGAGTTAAGGGATCTTGAAAGAGATAACAATTCATCCAGAGGGGAACATGACAGCTTGAAACAGATTTCATGACAGTGCACTCATTATCGCTGAGGCATTTTTTACTCGAGACCACAGATGTCAGCTTGAGGGTGGTGCTAGAGGAGAATTCAATGGATCACAAGAGCCGGTTCTGGTCGTGTACCTCAAGCTCGGCCATCTCCTCCCTGTAGGCTTTGGTCAGGGTCTTGATCTGGTCCTCCATCCTCTCCATCATCAGGTTCAACTCCTCTGCCTGTCTCCTCAAATCCTTCACATAGCGATCGTCTGATGATTTCAGCTCCTGTTCAGATGACATACAGAAAGTGAGCAAATTCAAAAAGGTCAAACAACACCAGAAGGTTTTACTCCTTTACATACATTTTTATGGACAGACAGTTACCTGTTGCAGGTCATTTATGAGTTTATCCTTGTTGTTTAATATAAGAGTACACAGCTCCTGCTGGCTGTCCAGAGCTTCCTGTACCTCCTGAGGGATCACCTTCTCCTTTGCTGCCGATAACCCTCTGATAATTTCCTCAAATTTTTCCTGACTGGACCTCACATCATTTTCCAGCCACTCCAGTCTGCACCATGTAGAACAAACACAATGGTAAACAGGATAGAAATTTTGATTTCAGACACCAAACGTAAAATCTTTAGGAGCAATTACCTTTTTTTGCGAGCTTCCTGCAGCTGCTTCCTTCGAATTGACTCTCTGACATCAGCAGCAGTTTGGATGTTGGTCACTGATGTTGTTAATTGTCTCTGCATGGTTACTCTCCGAGTACTAATCTGCATAACATAAAAGAAGACCGTTTCTATCAAGCTGTGGCAAAGATGATTTTATCTAAATGTGGGTGCATGTCAAGAAATTGCAAGTCAGTTAAATACTGTCAGTAAAAGATAAAGATGGTGTAATGACAAAGTGCTAATGCTAGCATTAGCACAAGTTTAATTACTTATTTTCTTGCGATACGTCTTATGTGAGGTATATTTTGTATTTGTTAAATGTTTGATTTTATTCTCTATGGGAATGTAATGTACCTGAGAAATTATGTGTTTTTGCAGCCTGGTAGCCTGTAGACGCACCAGTGGCAACAGAAACTGCCACTGTTGTGTCAAGGCAGCTGCCTTTGATGTCACACTGTTTAAAAGCAGCTACCTCTGATTCCAGACTGTTTGTGGGGCAGCTTCCTTTGATGCTATACTGTTTGGGAGCAGCTCCCTTTGATGCCATACTGTTTGGAGGCAGTTGTCAATTTCAAGTACATCTCCACCAAGGTTACCAAAGTACAACAACAAAAAATGTTGCTTTTGATGACAGATAGACTTTCAAAATGTGTCAACAATGGACTTTTATTTATTTTTTATTCTTTGAATTAAATGATAGCATTGTCAATTGTAATGAAATATTGTGTCAGTGATGGTGAATGTTAATAATGGAACCTTAAACAGGGCGACAGAGCTGCAATAACAGACACAAACAGCAGGCTTCACATGTGTCAAAGATAACAAAGGTATTTTAGTAAGGACTGGGTTAAAGTGAGTTCCATATTTAAAAAATAAATACATTCTCAAGGCACCAAACATTAATGAATAATACTTGCCTCTGAAATGGAGGAATTCATTATTTTGGAGCCAGAAGCTGCGTCCATCTTTTATATTCAGTCTATTCACCGAACGCAGCAGCTTGTTTGTAGACGCGTTGCTATGGAGACACATTTAAGTGAGTGACGACTGCTGCCTTCAAAGGCAGCTCGGGAATTCCACCGTCATCGCAGTGAACACGACTTGTCATGAGCAAAGACTTTACAACAGCAGCTTTCGTTTGGATGTTATGTTCTTCATCTGAATTCCATCTACTTATTTACTTTACGATGATAAAAACAAAGATCTCAAACACAATTATATGTCATTATGATCAGTTATAACACAATTTCAGTCATGAGAGATGCTTTGATTGTAATTATACACTATACAATACACCCCCTCCCCCTAATAATAATAATCATTGGTTGTTCTGTAGTGATTACTATACACATGGGTTTAGAAATACTAATATTATAAAACTATGTGGCTGCAAGAGAGTTCCCTTTCCTTTTCCTTATATTTCAGCATAACTCCACCTGAGAGGAAGTATTTATTTGCCTCACCCAGACACAGGCTAAATCTTGCATGTGGAGTTTTCAGGAAAACTCTGTTTTTTATACCATTTAAAAATGATTGAGGAGAAACCATAGTGAGATACGAAGGCAGGGCAGAGGGGCTGATATCACCGTGTATTATCATAACCTGATGCTGACATCTAGTGGCAACTATGAATGTCTCCAACCCTCTGGGCAACTGTTACAGGATTTTAAGTTACAAGTTCTGCAAATAAAATCCATTATTCACATTAGATGATAAAAAGGCAAAAAGATACAAACACCTGATTACCACTACCATTACATTTACTTCTACTGCTGCTACTACTCACTGCTACGACTACTACTAAAAAAATAAAATAATATTATTATCCCTATTGTTACATGTCTGTGAAGATTCTCAGTGAGGTAATGTTTTCTTGTGCAACTTATGAAAACAATAAAAATGATATTACTTGTAATAATATTGAATTGATAATAATTTTATTATTGCTAAATTTAACATTTTAAATCTTATTATTTGAATATTGCATTATGACTATAGTCAAATGTGCAAACAAAAAGAGAGGTGATGGTTGTTCAGTATAAGTGGTTGTTAAATAAAATTCACTGGCGTGTCATTGATGTAACACGTCATCATGGTGGTGCTTTGAGCGTTGGTTTGAATTCTGGTGGGATACTTTCTTTTTTTTTTTTTTAATGGGAAATGAAGTAGTTGCCATGACAATATGTAGGGACTCTGATGTTTACTTGAAACAATCAATTTTACTTTAGAGCCAAAAGATGGTGACATGTTTCTGAACTGTGTCTTTAATGTCATTTTCAGACACTGACTTTAGGTGGCACTACTGCCTTGCTATCAAAACACTGCCCTGGCTCCACAAGCTTAACATCAGTGAAATGTGGCATTTCAGAGCAGTTTTAAACACGTGCAGATTTATGTGCTGATCAAGAACAGAAATCTAATGACCCACGTGCACAGAGTCCAGACTTTGTAGTTCAAGCACGCTCTCCAAAACAAAAGATAAATGTCTTCTCAAGCTGATGACAAGACGGGCACACAAACAAACCCACACATGGGTCAGATGTTCCTGCCCTGAAGAGTGCCCCCCACACCTTTGCGGCCTGTTGGCAGCCTCAACGCTGGCCCTCATCCCCCCGGGGGGGGGGGGCACCTCGCCGCTCTTTTGGCCTTAAGTGGCCTCGGTTGCCGTTGAGCTGTGAGGGATGTAAGTCAGGCAGCGAAGGTTTCTGACATATGATCCAGCATCTGTGATGTCACCAACAGCTGACTTGTCATAAGACCTTTGTGAGAGGGGGGAAGTGAGGGATGAATGAGGAGAGGGCCTTATTTGCTACAGAGCCATAGCTGGAACGCTGAGTGCTTCTGTATCGAGCTGCTGAGATTACAAACTGAATGACTGCCATTAGAGAGTGATTCTATAATCTATCATAATACCATAAGCTAGGGATTGACAGACTTTGACCCCACTCACAGGTGTATAATAAGCCCCATTCACTCTGCATATGCTCTTTGCAAGAGGGTGCATGTGGGTGCGTGCATGTGTGTGTGTGTGTGTGTGTGTGTGTGTGTGTCTGCTAATTCCCAGGGGCATATGTTTACTCCTCGTTCAACAAAGCATCACATTCATCACTCCGGGGTTGAGAGGTGCATAATCTAAGCCTGACCTTCAGCCAGTTAACTAACTGACAGCTTAGAGTGTTGCTGGTGTTGCTGGGGGGTTGCGTAACAACTTTAAGTCCTAACTAACAGTTTCTTAATATTGCCACAGCGAAAGAGATATTAGCCACTGGGTATCGGGGGGGGGGGGGCACTGCGAGGGGAATACAGAGGAGCGGAGGATGATCGCAGAGGGCAGTCGAATATTCAAAGGCATTCAGGCGGGAGGAAGGCTGTGACCTTGTCAAAGAACAGCAAAACAGTCATTTAACAAGAATGAGTTTTCAATAAATGAAAAATGGAAGGCCAGATTCAGAAACAACATGAAGAGCATCTCCCCTACTCCTCTATCAAATAGCAAATATACTGAACTAAAGGTAACGAGTGCAAAGACAAGTGTGTTTTTTCTATCTGCTTGAGCATCTATTGCAAATGTTCCAACATATCCCTGTTACCTTTACATCCTCTGCGCCTCGATTTTTGCCAAACACAGATGCAGATATGCATATCTAAAACTTCATTGAGATATACAAAATTGACTAATTTTGAAAATTGGTTATTGCCTGATTCTTTCTGATTTAAGATAAAATAATCTTTATCATCATATGCACAGAGGTTGGGGAAGAACCCAAACATTTTATTTCAGTAAATGTAAATAAACACTTAGTGATGCTATTGTTCCAGATGCACTTTGCCTCATACATTTCCATCTGGCTATTAATTACATTTGAAAAATAAAAAACGATGTGAATAACATAATGCTTTGTAATAGTGGAGTACAAAATACTGATATTTGCAGAATTATGTAGTGGATTAAATGTGGAAAGTGCCCGAAGCAAACCTCAGTTAGGTACAGATCGTTGGCAAATGTACTCAAGTAGAGTAAAGTACTTTGTTAGTCAATATCAACAATTATGGCAAACTTGATTTCACTTTTATTGTGGAGTCAGATTCTATAATTATGTGTATAAACTGTCCATTCTCATGGTCATTATGTATTTTACTTGTCCTTGTTGTCATGACTCCACCATTGTTTTCAAACAAAAACTTAAACAGTCTTTAACACTTCAATCCTGCAGAGAACTGGAGCGAGCACTCGAGATCAGGTTCTGAACAAAATCATATTAAATTCTTCCACATAAACTATCACAGAATTACTCTCACAGTGGTTTTCATCAAAGCTCTTTGTGAATGGATTAGGTGTACAATCATTTTGCATGGCATTGGGCTACGATTACTGCTGGATTGTATTTTTTTTCGGTGAGAAGGTAAATCAGCCTTCATCAATGCAGTTTATCATAAACTGATGTGACAAAACACACACTGACTGTAATGTAGCCTGTATACGATTACAGTTAGCTCTGTGGCTCAAGCGTTGCACACTCAACACATTATTTAAGCAAACAAAACGCTTCTCATCCTCCATCTGTCTTTCCCACATGGAGGATAAAGACAGCAAAATATTCTGATAACCACCTCTGTCTCCCAAGGTGAAGTATGAGGGAGCAAAGATTTCTAAATTCAGCCTGTGAACACTCAAACATCACAAAAATATTGTTCTTTTTTCCAGCTGTGGGGTCAACAGCTTATGGTCAAAGACAAAAATCCCTGGTGGGCTTCCTTCAGCAAACCACAGAGACTGTGCACAAGGTTCTCTCGGGCTCCATGAATATTTATCTAAGGTGTGAATGTGTCCAGCAATGCATCACTAGGAAGGTAGGTAGGAGGGTAGGAGGATAGGTAGGTAGGTAGGTAGGAAGGTAGGTCATTAGTTAGAAAGGTAGGTAGGTGCAGTGGGTAGGAAGGAAGGTAGGTAGAGATTTGAATTCATATTCCCCTATTAACTACATCCATTGATTCTAGCATAAGTAGCCACAGCTTTTACACCGGCCTTCTCCGTCACGTGGCAGCCTCCAGTTCATTATCGCCAGGACTTTTCCTTTCTTTCTTGACTTTCAGCCCCGCTTAAGGACCCGGTGTGCCTCAGAAAAGCAACAAGGCTTAGCGGGAATCAGAGCCATTCCTGAGCTCCGGGCCTCGCCGCACACGAGAGCCGCTCAACACACTTCCACTGTGCCGGAGTGCAAACGACGAAAAGCCCGTGTCTTTAGCCGCTCCGCTGGCCGCAACTGGATCATATGACACGGCAGATCCGTAAATGCTCTTAGACCTGCTGATGGCTGTGCTCCATAAGACCAAAAAGCCAAAGGAGTTTAACGGATGTGTTGCTGCGATTATTCGGCCAAGTATCTTTATCCCACATTTAGATTAGCTCCTAATGACGGAGGAAAAGCCTTGGTTGCAAGAAACACAAGGCCACGTAACCTGAGAACAAGGCCCAGGCCTGTGTGAGGAAACAGCTTTCACCAGCACACTGCAACATGGACTCATTAGTCATCATGTACCTGTAGCCACACTTATACTGCTGCTGGGTCCTGATGGTGGTGAAAACAACGGTTGTTGTTTCTAAGTATCATAAAGCTACAACAATAATATAAAATAGATATTTGGATCTGCACCAAATCCCACACACAAAATCATGAAAATGTTGAAAAACACCCCATCTCCCAATGTTGAAAAAAGTAAAAAAAAGAAATCCTGTATGTACAAACAAACAACTGAACATGAAATTACAAACTCTTTGGTGAAGGTAAGTAGAATGGCACTATAGAGCAGTCAACTTAAATTCAATCAAGCCGCACTAAACTGCACAAACTCTTATATCAGTCCCCTAAATATGCCTGATAAGCCTTATTCCCGGGTAAATCTGGGAAAATGTCTTAAAACACCCTATATCGCAATGTTTAAAATGCTGTTAACAAACAAGCCAACCAATCCTTACTGAAGGAAATAATGAGTAAGCAGCATCTTAAAGTGGTAGCTGGTCAGTTCGGAGCTAAAGTCATGTAGCTTGACATAGAGCTCAAACACTGTTTAGTAGTTTGAATCAATAAAATCTCAGTCGATTTCATTGGATAATCAAATAAACATGTTCATCTGAGAAACAGATAGCAGCTCTGTCATTAATGTCATAAAGAAAAAAGTGCAGTATTACTAATACTTGCCTCTGAAATGGAGATACGCAAGTAATAATGTACTCAGTCCTTGAGTAAATATACATTACATTCCACAGCTTGTAATCAGCACCACACTGGTTGTGGTTAAATCACATCACAACTGTTAATGCTCATGACATAAAAATATTTATTTGGGCAAATGCATTCAAAATTAGGGTTTCTTCACAGCAAATGCATTTTTTCAATAGGCACACTCATCAACTCAACTCATAGAAGAGACTCTGCCGCCACGTGCAGTCACAAACCCTTAACAAATTAAGTTAAACATCAGTAGGAAATGACAACAAAGCACATTACAAGCTTTATGAAACCACAAAAAAACACACTGCCTGGAAAACAGGTAACATCACAGTCAAAGAGTGCTCTTACATTATGTGTGTTACGTCTTTATTAACCCACCCAGCTCATGTGAGTCCCTCTCCTTACAGCAGATACATGTCACCACTAATGGACATCAAGTGCTTCCTTTTTGTAGCTCTCTTCTGGAAATATATTAGAGACAGAAAAACCCATTTCTCTACCAAACCCATAAATAGCGCACGTGCACACATTAGCTCAACCGCACAGACACACACATGCACACAACATTCAAGCCGCTCACTTTCTCATGACACCTGTCTGACAGCACACACCACCATTGCTCAAAATATAAGTTTAAACCTGACAAACTTCACAAAACAAAGCTGATTATTAATTCTGGCGTTAAGAGGCAGACTCAAGCACAGTGTGTGGACGGTTTCCTTATTTTTAATCGGAGAAAATCCGAGTTCTGTATGTTTCTATTTCCTGCTTTCCAACATTATTATTATTATTATTATTATATCTTTCAGAAAAAGGTTGTAAGCATATGAAATCAAATGTTTAATGTGCCCACAGTCCATTTTGTGCGATAAGATAAATCCAGTGCATTTCACTTTTAAGTTTCATTGATTTAAGTCCGTTGAATACAGATTGGTTTCAGAGCCCCGCCCCCTGAAGACAACAGTAAAGCTGCAGGCGAGGGCTCTACGTTCATTGAAGGTCCATCGAGCCTCAAGCACGAGACACAGGAGTCAAATCTACTCCTGGGTTGTAACACTTGATAAAGGAATGCTGTCAATCATTTCAGTGCATCTCTTCTCTCCTGTTCAGCTCCGTTTGTCCTGAATGTTCATCAAGCTGGTGTACGACTTCGCTCGCTTGGCTGTAAAGAGAGAATTTACATTAGTATACACGTCTTCAGCAGAAATTCTCACATACTTTTTTTTCTGGCTGATTTATTCTAAGATTCTGATATTGTACTTAATAGTGTTTAAACTAGAGCCTGATTGATATGTAATTTAAAATCTTCTGACCCTTACGACAAAGCAATTAGGGCTATAAATGTTTCCTAAATGTGCATATTGGCGCTGATACTGAAACACCTGTTAAAGATGAAATTGATAAATAAAGATAAATCTGACGGGCTCTAGTTTAAACTAAATGAGCATTGTGCTTGATAAAATAAGCAATTGGGGTATTTCTAAACATCAACAAAGCTTTTGGATAAAATATTTAAACGCTGTTTGTATCTGTGGATGCGTAAGAGTGATAAATGCTTTTTTCATTCATGGCAGGAACAAACTCATTTTTGGCCTGATGTGAATGTTTTGTATATGTAGGAACAGTGGTGAACATAAAAGAACTTGATCCATTTTTATATGAATCCAAATTCATTGAGATTAAGGCGTTATCATCTTAAAGTTAAGGAAAAGATGTTTCAACTATGTGTGCATGGATCGATGCTAGTTGTAAAAAAATGTCATACTACAAAGAAAAGTCTAATTATGAAAATAGGACAAAGTCTCTTACATTTTTCACTATTTGAGCGTAAATGTTTGTATGAGTGGGTTCTTGCACGAGGCTCAGTGTGTACTTGACCATCACAAGCTGTTTTGTTGTGCACTCAACAGTAACCCACTCCACCCACTGCAAAAAAAAGTTCCCTGATCCTTCAAGGCACCAACCATCCACCAAAAGAGGAAAATAATACTGCAGCCTCGTCTGTGGTCCAGAGGTCTGCAGGGACTTTTCTTTAGAGCAACCTCACACAACCCCACCTCCTTCCTCCTCCATCGTGGCTCAACTCCAGTATCGCAGTCAGTCAACCCCCCCCCTCACCCCTCCGAAAGACCTCGAACTCTTCAAAACCCCGTCAAAAAATCTCTCTGCGTGTGACAATGGGCGAATTAAGCTGGTTACTCACGGTGTATGAGCTTGCGTTTCTTTTGTTCAGAGTGAAGGAAGCTGCTCAAGTAGAAGATGATGGGCAGAAAGAGCATGAAGCTCGACACAGCGATGACAGGCACCGTCTCCTCGCGGGACAAGGAACAATTGAAATTCTTACTCCACAGTTTGCGTGTTCCATTCATCTGAAAGGAGGCAAAGTGCCAAACGCAACATAAACTTCATTTCTGGTGACTGCAATTACACCACAGTGTTACTATTAATTGTACACTCTGGGGTCTCTCTTCTGAAATGTTTACTGAATCCAGGGGTATTTGGTTTGGGGGCTGGTAGCTCTTATTGACAGGTTTTCTTAATTTTTTCATGATTCTTGTATTAATGGTCAAATTTCTGTGTCAGATAAAGAAAGATCTTCCACCTTCTTCAAACCATGTTATTTTTTTTAACCAGTACCCTCTAAAATACAAACAAAAACCATTAAGACAAAAGCAAACTAAAGCAAGGAGGACGTGCAGTTTTATAATCAACGCTGAAATGTAAAATGTTGACTACAAAACGTCAAGACCACAGAAAAGCAGCAAGATTCCCTTTTCAATGATATTTTTACTTCAGTATATGAAAACAAACTCTTAACTCAACATTCAAAACTACATCTAATAGTCTGCACACACAAACTTAATAAATATTCATATTTCACGTACAGATTTTGAACTTCAACTTCACAGATGTAATAATGTTCACTTTAAATAGCTTCCTGTTTGTACAAATGCCTTAAAATATTTGTGGCATTGTTTGAATTTATTTACAGATTGTTTAATGCGTGTGCAAGGATCGCCTGATACGCACGGTTCAGCTTACACATGTGCGTGTGGACTTTTGAAACTGCATGCTACCTTTATGTGGGGAAACTGGGACATCTGGGTTTTAGTTGAATTGTACACATTCATAAATCTTATTTTCTATTTTCTCTCCATACTCCTCTAACTAATTCTCCTTCAGTGTTTACAGATTCCTCTAGGGGGTGCAGCTTCCTCTCTTCCCATCTTAAGGAGTAAAATCTCTGCTACATACCGCATCTTCTATGTCAATACATAGAATCTTATCCTTCTCCATTCTGCTGTAGAGCTTGTTCAGGTCACCGTATGTGTCCTTACAGTTTTTGCACAGCTCTGTGAGATTCCCCTGTGAAGAAACATTGAGAAAAGGGCCTTGTGGTTAACTCCTGAACGTGAGCTCACAACAGACAGGTCGATCTTATGAACCTAATGTGGGACGTACCTGTTGATACTTCTGAAAACAGGTGAGAGTCTGGTTGAGGGTTGCCATGAAGTACTGCGTGTCATTTGTCACGCTTTGAAATCCATCAGTGATACATTCTGCACAACAGGAAATACACACCATCAGCAGTTTGGTCTATTTATTCAATGAATGTGTAAAATGAAATCAGATCCATAGCTGCATCCTCTGAAGCTTCTGCATACTGCAAAATGTCAGAGAAAAGAGGCATCAGTTATTCTTTATTCATTATTCTGTTAATTTTAAGATTAGACTCAGCAAACAAATGATTAATGAAGAAAACAATCACTAGGTTAATCAATAATAACAAAAGATTACTTTTAGCCCTAAGACTAACAAAAATCTCTGCTGTGCAACATTCAGTGTGTCCATTGCTCAGTCTGATTGAAGCCTCACTGAATGCTGCCTCTACTTAACCCTGCACTCTGACCTCTGTGGTCAAATGCATACCTACCTACTGTGTGTGTGAGTCAGGAGTTCAAACAGAGGGACACATCCCTCATGACACATAAAGTACAAAAACTGACATAAATAGAACGAGCATAAACTTACTTTTACAGTTTGATATACCCCACAGGTCCTCCAGGTTGCTGTACAGCAGATAAACCAGCATCAGTCGATCACTGCGCAGAAGACTCTCGCTGCAGCTCACATTACCAGGACCCATCTGAGGACGGGACACACAGCTCAATCACCTCATCTATTTTACGCCGAGGTTTGCCCCTCCTGGACACATGAAGCTCAATGTTGATTTATAGTGAACCAATTAGGTAATGAATATGATATTATAACCAACATTTAAGTATTTTATCAAAGAACACAATTATAATTTAGTTTACCACTCAAAAACCTATTTAAGTTTGTAACGCTTCTTTTGCCGCATGTACTCTCTCGCATGCTGGTGGCTTTGATAGACGCTTAACAAAGGCGATCATTCACAGGGCATTTAGGGTTTAGAAACGCACAGTAAAATGTTGTTAACTTCACAAACCAAACAAGGAGTAAGAATTAACAAAGTTAAATAATTAAAGTTATCAGGTGACTTAAAAGGTTCAGTATGGCGGCAATGCACCTTGACGTTGGTTGGCACCCGCCAATAAACCACACAAAGAAGAAAAAGACAGGCTCAGTGCTCAGTAATCCTGGTGATGTCTTCAGCAGTGTTTCATCTAAATTATACACATTGTTGTTTTCTTCACTCGAGAACAGGCCCTTTAAAATTCTTATTTTTGGGTGAACTATCCCTTTAAGTGTAAGGAATATAAAAAACATGGATGGATGTAATGAAAACTATTATACAAAGTGTAAAAACTAGAAAAATAAGTAACACCTTTACCACTAGGTGTCGCTAAATTCTACACAGTGAACCTTTAATGGACAGCATCACTTGTGGAAAACACCGTTTACAGGAAGTCACAGGAGAAGTCACGTTTCCTCAAATGACCCCATCACCAGTCAGTCACATCTGAGACCTCGTGACTGGGCGCGCGCGCGCGCACACACACACACACACGAACACACGAACCTGGTCCGATGAGATGTTGGTGTAGATTTCCGTCAGGCTGCCGTAGCTGGAGAAACATCTCTGGCACACTCGGACGGGTCGAGCCGCCGGAACCAGACATTTCACGTAGGCATCGTAGCGCTCCCCGAAGACGGCCAGCAGCTCCCTGCAGTAGCCGCTGACCTCCAGGTCATCCGGGAACGACGCGAGCAGGTTGAGGGAGTCCGACACAACGGGCTTGAACACGGGGGAGCTGTGGAGGGCGGGACGGTCCGCTGGTTCTACAGCAGCGGTGAGGTTCAGTGTGTCGCAGGACACGAGGGAGTGAAAGTGTGTGAGCAGGAAAACACAGAACGAGCAGCTTCTGTAGAGAGACATGTCTGAAAAGTCATCTGCTCCTCTTCTCTAAACAAGCCGCCACTTCCTGGTTCAGCACCAGCGGGATCATGTGACCGCGGGGGACATCTCGCGAGATCTCAACATCAGACACAGGAATCAGAGCCATGGAAGTCAGACCACATCTATAACATCTACAGTACTATTTATATATACTACATATAAATACTATAACCTATGATCATCACATACTCTATAATAAATATACAGTTTATATGACTTGTATTACTTTTATTTTTTTACTCTTATTTTAATAGACTACATTTGTACTGTCTCTCTTACTGTATTTGTTTACATTCATTTGACTTCTGCTTTCACCAAACTTTTTACCCTTTAACTTGGAAAAACATACATCATCATCATCATCCTGAACCTAAATGATCCTTATGAAACCAGATTTGAGTGACTGAGCTATCTCAACTTCCAGCAGAAATAAAAATATCAAATCACTACTCTATTGTAAAACATTTAAGGGGAAAAATAAGTGACATTTTTTACCTTCCCTGAATGCACCAATTCACAGAAATCAATCAATTTACTAACCTTTCACTCTAGGGCCATAATCATAATTTTAGTAACGCTGAGGTTATTATCCCGTGTCCCTGCAGGTCCCTCCCATTATTGCCCATAGAAGAATCTGAGCAGACGTCTGGTATGGTTTCTTTTATTTGTATTTTTTCTTTATATTTAATAAATTCAATTCATTGCATGTATTATAACATTCTATTTTAAATCCCTCTCCAAGGAAATACCGAATTCTTTAGATAAGATAAATACAATAAGTCAAGATAATATCTATCTATCTGTCCATCCATCTATCTCTCTATCTATCTATCTATCCATCCATCCATCTATCAATCTATCCATCCATCTATCTATATAATAATAACATATGTGTGCTTATTGCCTTTGTATTCTGTAAACCAGGTGGACATACAGAGGGGGTTTAGGTTGTAATCATTTCTTCTTTCTGGGAGCCACATTAGAAAAATAATAAAGGAACGGAGGAACATGTGAACAATTAGGTGAACTTTGGTCAGACGAAGAAGAGTTAATGAGCTGCTGCTGGTGCCATGTGCACTGAGAGCAGCATTAACGGCCACAATCCATATTTAGCCTGGCACCTCGGGCTGTGCTCACGGATCAGAATAGGCCTCTAATGCCGTGCACATTCTCCCCCCCTCATTTTCATTAGGCCCTGATGACTGCGTAATTGATGCGGCCTGCGAGTTATCAAGAGCCACTAATTTCACATTAACGACCATTGACTGCGGCCGCTTGATTCGAGGGGGTTTCTGACAATATTCACAATCAGGACCGGAGCCCAGATCATTTACCTTGACTCTGTGATTATTTCCCTGCATGTGAGCAGAGAGCGCATAGTGCAAAACTGTATGATGTCAAAACCCTGTAAATAATGAGGAGACCAGGAGGAGCAGGCAGACACAGGCGCGCGCACACACGCACACATGGGCACACACACACACACGCGCACACATAAATAGCATCAACTTAACTCTTGTCTTTTGTAATATGCCTGTAATAATAAACTACAGATCAATAGATCGATCTACGATAGATCAATAGATAAAAAACTAAATCTTTCCTGTCATTTGTAATAAACGTGTATATGATGTACGTATGCGTCAATAGAATGAATTGACCGGTAGGTGAGTCTCAGTGTGCACTGATCACATTATTCATAGAGCTTTAGATGTCTTTTCCTCTGCCGAGCTAATCAGCATCAGAGCAGCACTGGGCTAAGTAAAATCGGCATATCATTACCAGCCTGTTTGAGATGACCGTTATTGTCAGATGGCAGAAAAATGCCTTCATTAGCATGTGATGGATGGAGAAACCAAGAGGACAAAAAATTCACTAATTAGGCCCATAAATTAAACGATGGTGAAGATAAGAGCTCTCCAGGAGTGATGATGGCAAGTCTCAGTCCGAGGATCCCCTCTAGATTTGAAGCATGATATAAACCACATGTAAGATGAAGACAGGGACCATTAGCTTTTACATCTGGTGATCTGGGATTAAAAAGGCCTATGAACTACTTTAATAAAAATACCTCAGCCAAAACCCAACAGCCCCCTTATGATATCAAATTTTAATTGACTTAAACCAGATTTTGAAGGAGTGGACCTAAACAAATTTATTTAGATGCACAACCTATAAGTAAATTTTTTTTTTACTCTCTGCCACTAACATTATGATAGTCTGATGTTGTAGCTCCACACATGTGATCTGTGTTATCTTAAGATCTGGCATCTGAGACGGTGAGGTGTGATCAGCCCATGTGTCCTTTCCTTGTGAGTGTCTCAGACGAGAAACATCACAAAGGGGTTAACTCAAACCAGTTCAGCCTTAAACTTGGCTCTTGGCGTGGGGAGAGAAAATAGCTGTAAAGTTATGCAGAAGTTATTCTTCATCCTTCGGGCCGTCCCTAATCCACCAAAAACCTCATTCTTTCATCGGAGAACTGTGCCTCCTTTCTTGTTCCCCCCTCTCTATACAACATAAAGTCAGACTGCATTTAATGGTTATGTCGGGATGGGAGAGGGGCTTTCTTCTTCCCCCTTTCTCCAGAATATTGCCCTTTTCGTCGTGTGAGTCTCCCAACCCGCGGGGACCCCCATATTCTTCCCTCCAGCGTCTGACTCGAATCACAAACTAACCCCGATTTTCACATCTTCGCTGGGAATTGCGGGGAGTGATAATAGAGATTTCGCTTTCATTTTATACGCTTGACTTGGTTATTGTTGCTTTTCTCCTCTCCCGTGATTCTCCCCTTTTCCAGGGATTAGCCCTGACTTCGCCCGCTATACTGGCCATCGAAGTGCCCCTGAGCCCCAGAATGACAATTGACGCAGATCAAGGCAGGCCTATTCTGCGCCTTTTGAAAGAAAGGGACAGAACTGAGACGGGTTTAAATGAAGGACTTTTAATGGGAGAATCGGATGGTCCCCGCTGATTAGACGGCAACAATTCAGATTTCAGGTTGCAGGTTTGTTTGTTTGATGCAAACATTTAATATATTCTAATCTTTTCTGGGATACATCATCAGTCTTGGACGTGCACAGCAGGGCTGAAGTTGCCGGGCCAACTACCTGTTTGCTCTCTTTGCTTTGACTGATCTGCATAATCAGTCAAAGAGCCTCATGTATAAGAGTAGCCCAATAGTTGCTAAAGTTTGACCAATTTAAATTGCGATTTCGTCCATTCATTATAGATTTTACGATGCCATAAGCCCCTTATCATGTGACACTTGTCCAAACTGATGTTTACGTTTTGTGAGTGTGAATTTGCCTTAAAAGATGAAGTATCAACTATCAGTGATCTGAATTTATTTTCGAAGTTTGAATATTGCATTTTACTTAAGACACAAAATCATGTCACTGCTTAACTAGTTTACAGGCATTATCGCAATAGCCCCTTAAAATGTCCGTTGTCACGCTACATCCTCACCTGAGGAGGGCCAGGTCAAGACAGATCAAATCCAAGGGTCTTATTGCCAATCACAAACCTTAAAGGTTTTAAAGGTTTTGGAGTTCATGTTTTGTAGAACTCTCTTGGCATCTTTTCCTACAGCTGCAGTCTCCATCTGGGTTGGTTTCCTACAAGTTAAACCAATGAGGACTAATGTATATGTAGAACACTGCAGAACTTAGACTGCATGAGGAAGATGATGGTTAGAGTACAGCTAGAGAAGATGGGGAAGCTGCTGATCATGTCAAGAGTGAGAAGTGGACAGTGATGGTAAGTATGATATGGATGAAAATGTAAGTGATGAGGAAAATGATGACAATGATTATCAGGATATTATGTTGAGAATCACAGTGATTAGAGTAAAGATGCAGAGATGATGACGACATTGATACTGTAATGGCAGAGTTGATGACGAGGATGAGGAAGATGGTGAAAATACAGTAGAGAAATCAAGGCTCAGCAGATCTGACCGTAAGATTGCAGATGAATGTGACAGAGTAGACACAGTATATTTGAGATATGCACATAGATTAACTGATATGTTAGAGGAATAGTTATTTGAATATTTCCATTTCCAAATAATCTACTTTTTACGCTGCATCTGGACACATGTAGCTACTTTTCAGGTTTAGATTTACAACGTTTCTTAAAGGTTAATTAACTGATTCAACTATTTCGGCGCGTGCACTCTAACAAAACTCTGTCTACTTTGGGCTCTTGTCATCTTTCAAATGTTAAGCTGGTAGCAGTGTCACCAAAGAGACTTTACTCCTCTAAACTTATGGTTTTCTCCCATATTTGTCTGTCGTTTTGTTTGTTTGTGAGCAAGATAACATAAAAACAATAGAACAGACCATGAGACTTGCTGGAAGGATGCAGTATGGGTCAGTGAAGAACCCATTAAATTTTGGTGTGGATCCATTGGGAAGCCCCAGGAATTTCTTGTAACTCTTTTAAATGTTGTTTGCTGTTTATTTACATAAGTGGGATCTTGAATGCAGTTTTTTTCTACATTAATTAAGTTGCATTTTATTCTGAGTTAGATAATATAAGCAGGGAAAAGCATGGATGTGCTGACTGTGAGTCTATCTGCTCTACAGGTGTCACATTCTCAGCACTGCAACAGTTTGACACAGTCTGACCGTCCAGATCTGCTCATCATTGGCACGTCACACAAGAGAGAGTTTCATGTATTTGCCACGTCTCCCTCAATCAGGCTTCTCCGCAGCACTGTGAGAAGTTAATCTGTGTTGATGGTGTGTTGTGCACTCTTCCGTGGGCCAGTTAGGCTGGGATCTCTCCTGGAAAGCCTGGTCTGTGCTCATATAGAGGGGGGATAATTACCAAACACGCAGCCGACAGCAGCGACACAAAAGCCGCTTTGACTTCCTCACTGCTGGTCGCCTCCAGGGGATGGTCCTGCTCCCTGATCACCCTGCTCACCCAGACTCACTTCTCATCACTCCTGAGAGGCAGAGACGTCTTGTTCCATAACAAGACACGAAACTGACTTCTTTCAGCTCCAGTGAACTGGACATAAACCCAGTCTGACAACCTCCAGTGCCCAAACAGAACAGAGAGGGGACGGGTGGGCTGGTGCAGAGGACAGGAGAGGGGTGGGGGCAGCACTCTCTAAATAAAGTTGTTAT